TGGCCCTCACTGTGAGCGGCCCAGCAGCCCCCCTTGTGGCTCCCGCAGGAGAAGATGCTGGACATCTACTGGCTGCTGCGCGTCTGCCTGCGGACCATTGAGCACGGCGACCGCACGGGGCCACTCTTTGCCTTCATGCCTGAGTTCTACCTGAGCGTGGCCATCAACAGCTACAGTGCCCTGAAGAATTACTTTGGCCCTGTGCACAGCATGGAGGAGCTCCCAGGTGACGGGCCCATTCAGGCTGGGCAGGGGCAGGAAAGGGCCTTTGGTGAGAGCCGTCGCGACCCAGCAGCGCACCTGCGCGTGGGGCGGAGGCACAGCGGCCCCTGCTCTGCGCTGCCTCCGTCCAATGAGCAGTGGCCCATGCCCCACGGGGCGGGGAGCCCAGCCTGGTGCCCGCACCATAGGACCAGCAGCTCCTTCTGGTGCTGCGGGGAAAACAGATGAAACGGATCCCTGCCTTTACTTCCTATGTGGTGCTGCCATGGCCAGCAGCCAGCCGGCCTGTCACCCCACCGCCATGGCACCGCCACACGGTATGGCAGCTCTGCGTGGCTGCGGCTCGTCTCTGCGGGTCTCAGAAGCAGTGGGGCCCTGCTGGGGGCCCCACAGGAGCCTGGCTTCTCGCAGACACCGGTCCCAGGCTGGCTGGGCGGCTTCCGTCTGGGTCAGGCTTTGGGCTGGCAGGCTCTTGGCCCACCCCTCCCCACCACAGACCTGAGCGCAGGCTTTGTCCTCAGAGGGGACACTGTGGGTGTCCAGGGGGGTTATACTGCTGAGCCAAGTGTGCACGCTCAAATGAGTTTGGGCCTGTCAGAACTCTTGCCAGGACCCCCCACCTGGCCCCCGACAGGGAGTCTGTGCCGTAGCCTCTCACTAGCTGTCAGTGAATGATGTGCCTGATGTCCCGAGATGCCGGCTTGGGCCCAGACTGAGCCTTAGAGCCAGCTCTGGAGCCCACCCCCCACGCCCCACCCCTCCAAGGGGCGTGCCAACCTCTGCAGCCCCCACTCCCAGCCAGCGGCTCTCACTCACCACCCTGCAGGCTACGAAGAGACCCTGACCCGCCTGGCTGCCATCCTTGCCAAACACTTTGCCGACACACGCATCGTGGGCACTGGTGAGGTGCCCTGCAGAGGGCTCTGGGGGATGGGATGGGATAGGATGGGATGGCATCTCGGGTTGCCTATTTTCTGCACAAAATGCTGGCCAATGGGCACGAGGCATGGGGGCCAGGGCTCATGCTAGGCACCGACTGAGGCCCGGCCTGTCCCCGCAGACATCCGTGACTCGCTGATGCAGGCACTGGCCAGCTACGTCTGCTACCCACACTCCCTGCGGGCCGTGGAGCGCATTCCTGAGGAGCAGTGAGTGGGGGCTGGGGGTGGGGCAGGCGCCCTGCCCTTCACAGAACCGTGCCCAGCCTCACCCTGTACCTGCCGCCCCTTGCCTTGCAGGCGCATCGCCATGGTGAGGAGCCTCCTGGCTCCCTACGAGCAGCGGCCCTGGGCCCAGACCAACTGGATCCTGGTGCGGCTCTGGAAGGTGAGCCCAGCTGGAGGCGGGGTGGCCGCAGCTGGCGGGAGTGAAGGCTTGCCCTGCCCCACTGACCGACACTGACCCTACCCCAGGGCTGTGGGTTCGGGTACCGCTACACACGGCTGCCACACCTGCTGAAAATCAAACCCGAGGATGCCAATTTGCCCAGCCTCCAGAGTGAGTATCCAGCTGGCCGGCAGTGGCCTTTGCCCACTGCCCTCGGGCGCTCAGACTTCTCCACCTCCTCCTGCCCCTGTGGGACACGTGTTGGGCCCCAAGCACCCTGTTGGTCCCCAGGGTTTCCATCCTCCTTGGTCCCCCCCAGCCCAAAGACACCTGGGGCTGTGCGCCCTCGCTCCCCAGTCCCACATGTGCCCTCTGGGCCTGGAGCTCTGCGTGGGTCACAGTGGAAAGGGCAGCGTCTTGGCAGGCCGCCGACAGCTCACGCAGGGTGAGGACCCTGCCCTCTGGCCTCCATCCTTGTCCCAGCACCATGTCCCTCTGCCCCTTCTTTGCCGTGCGCTTGGAAACCTGAGTCCGGGGGGCATAACCAAGGGGCTGGACAGGGCCCCAGAAGGTGTTCACAGGGCTTTCTGGAAGAAGGGGCATGTGGTTGGAAACAGAGGCTGTGCCCCGTCTCCTGGGGCCATGGTCTGGCACAGCCGTGAGCCTGAAGACCATCGCCAAGCCCGGCCCAGGGTCGCGGGTGGTCCCACTTACAGTCCGCCTGCTGCACCCTGTACTCACCCCGCCTGGTGGCTCCCCTTAGCCCACAGGATGTGTTTCTGCCTTTGTGGGCAGTGTTTGGCCTGAGTGGTGTCCCCAGAGGCCGAGTGCCTTGGGCAAAGTCACATAGCGAGTCCTTGCCAGTTGCCTAGGTCCTGCGTCCAGGGTGGAACTGAGCCGCAAGTACAGAGTGGCAGTGGGGCCGATTTGTGTCCTGCTGCTGCTGGAACTATTGATTTGCATGGGGGGCGGAGGGCTGCCCAGCCCGGCTGAGGTTGCAGGCTCTAGTTACTGCTGCCCATCAGCCCAGACTTGGCGCCCACCACCTCGGCCGTATGCCAAGGCCAGGCCAAGGACGGCAGAGGACAGTAGAAGACAGCAGGGCTCAGAAGTGGCTCTTGGGGAAGCTGGCCTTGAGACGAGCGATGTCGCCCTGTCTAGGCCTCGCCCTCCCTGAAGGGTCTGTGACTGAGGACTCGCTGGGGTGTAGGCTGGGCCCGGCAGATGCTGTGGGGCGGAAAACGACTCTGGTCTGCAGCTGGCTCACAGGGGAAGGGGACAGATTTAGCCCTGCTTCTCTGCCTCATGACCTGAGCATTCCCAGAGCCACCTTTCTGTACTTACTGCCCAACAAGTGAGGACAGAGGCAGGGCCCCTGACTAGAGTCCCCGCTGCCCCTGCAGAGCCCTGTCCCTCCACCCTGCTGCAGCAGCACATGGCAGACCTGCTGCGCCAGGATCCCGACCTGGCGCCCAGCTTCCTCAACAGCGTCCTCAACCAGCTCAACTGGGCCTTCTCTGAGTTCATCGGCATGATCCAGGAGGTGGGTCGTGGGGGGACTCTGTGGGCCAGGGTGTCGCAGAGGATGCGGCATGATCTGCGGTGTGGCCAGGCCCCTGACCACTGCCGCCCGCCTGTTGGTGGCTCAGATCCAGCAGGCCGCCGAACGCCTGGAGAGGAACTTTGTGGACACCCGGCAGCTGAAGGTATGCGCCACCTGCTTTGACCTCTCGGTCAGCCTGCTGCGGGTCCTGGAGATGACCATCACCCTGGTGCCCGAGGCGTTCCTCGACTGGACCCAGCCTACCTCTGAGATGCTGCTGCGCCGTCTTGCACAGGTGTGTCCAGCAGCGCAGGGAGAGCGGGCGGGACCCTGGGGGGTGCCCCAGGGCTGAGCCCACCCGGCCACCAACAGTCTGCTGCCCTCACAGCTGCTGAACCAGGTGCTGAACCGGGTGACGGCCGAGAGGAACCTGTTTGACCGTGTGGTCACCCTGTGGCTGCCTGGTGAGGACCGTGGTGCCCCGCACTCAACACACCAGGCCTGGCTCCGCTGCCAGGAGCAGCAGTGCCGCTCCTCCACCCTGCTCCGGCACAGCCAGGCCGGGCACCCCAGCCTCAGCGGCCCTCTGCGGGAGGACAGTGGGAAGGGAGGGTGGCACCCGCCAGGCGGGCCTGGGGAGCTCATCCCCACCGCCTTCCCCGCAGGCCTGGAGAGCGTGGACCACTACCCTATTCTGGTGGCGGTGACAGGCATCCTGGTGCGGCTCCTGGTGCATGGCCCCGCCTCAGGGTGAGTGGCAGGGCCTGGGCCCTGTGGGAGCTGGGCGAGCCGCATGGGGGCGGGGGCGGGGGCGGGGCTGGGCAGGGCGCCCTGCAGCTGTTTCCTGGTCTCTAAAGCCGAACTCGGGGTCTGGTTCTGAGGCAGAGGAAAAGCAGGGAGATCTGAAATGCCTGGGTAGGTGGCGGCAGCAGCAGCTGAGGAGGAGAATCAGGGATTCCAGCAGAACAGGGCGCCTCGGTCCCTGGTCAGAGCCTCAGGCTGGGGCAGGGGAACTAAGGCTCTTTGGAGGCGGTGGCATCCTGCGATGTCCAGGACAGCACCGCTGAAATCGGCCAAGCACGCACACTGTGACTTGAGTCCATGAAGGCTCACGCGACGAGCATGTCCTCCCTTTATTAAGAAACTCCATGAAGACCAGATTCAAGACCCCCGAGGGGGCCCCCAGCTCTGCCCTCCTTCCCTGCCTCCCTGCAGTGGGAGGGGTGAGCTCCACACCAAGTCATCAGGCTGAGACCAGTGCCAACCCTTAAGAGGCTTCTACCCTCGAGGGCTCTCGAGTCCCAGCCCCGCCCTCCCATCTTGGCTGTTGCTCAGCAGGCTTTTTAGTGCTGAAAAGCTGGGGGCGTAGGGCCACAGTGCCCCTTACAGCTGGCTTGTGAGCCCATGGGAGAGGCTGTGCCCTCAGAGTGGCCTGTGATACTCCTGGCCTTGGAGGGAGCAGGGCCACCCTGGCTGGGCCCAGGACAGGCCTCCAGGGGTCTGCGGAGGAGCCTCATGCCTGCCCACAGGGCTCTGCGTGTATTTGGGGAACTAGAAGCAAGTGGGCTGTTGGTATGTGGCGTCCGCTTTCAGCAGGGGAGGGCTCGTTCCTCCTCCCAGCCTGCGGGCAGGGCCAGGTCTTCTTTTGGAGCCTCCCCCTTCCCCCAGCTCCCACTCCCTTGCCGTCTCCTTGGGGAGGGAAAGCACTTATGCCTCAGCAATTCACCACGACTCCTGGGTGGCTGCCTCAGCCCCTGAGGGTGACCTGGGGCTCCCGTGCAAGGGCTGTCCCGGGTGGGCTCGGCTCCAGTCCTCACATCCCAAGGGAAGGGGGCACGGGCAGGCCCTGTGCTGCAGTGAGGCAGGGGAGCAGTTGGGGGCCCCAGCCCCTCCACCCGTGAGTGGGGCTACTGTGGTGCAGGTGGAGGCCTGTGCTGGCGGCCGGCACACCCAGCCCAGCGCGTCCCACCAGCATCTGGCAGTCTCTGCACGGCAGCAGGGAGCAGGCAAGCAACAGACAGGCGGTGGCCTGGGTGGGGACCCTGGGCAGCCTAGGTCATCACCAGCCCCTCAGAGCCTGTGGAGCTAGTGGACTCGGAGCCAGCCTTGAGTTGCAGGCCCATGGGGTTGTAGAGATCAAAGTCCTCAGCTACTGCCAGCTGCACACGACCATTGAGGCCCCTCCTGCCTGGCTCCAAAAAGACCACATGCTTGTGGACACTGGCTTTGCGGCTGGGTGCATCGGGTGGCGTGGTGCTGAGCACCGAGGACTGTGCACTCAGCTCCTGGAGTGGGCTGGGTGCTCGGGGCCAGCAGCGGCAGGTGCGGTGGTAGCAGCGGCGGCAGCCGGGACAGGGCGGTGCGAACAGGTAGAGCAGCACCAGCACCAGGCCGACGGCGCAGCCCAGCAGCGTGGTGTACCCGGTGTTGAAAACCTCGGGCTCGGGGTGGAGGCGCTGCACGCTCACGTTGTACTCATGTACTTGGCTGTGGTGCAGGTGGGGCCCGGTGGCCAGGCACACAAAGACGCCCTCATGCTGTGGCTGCACGTTGCTGATGGCCAAGCTGCCGTCACCCATCACTGCAATGCCTCCATCAGGGGAGCCTGGCGCCACCAGCAGCTCGTGCTGTGGGGAGACCCAGGCAACGTGCAGGGCGGGGGCACTGGTGTTGCAGTGCAGCCTCAGAGATTCACCCACCTGCACATGCAGCTGCTCTTCAGGCTGGTCCAGACCCCGAGCCAGGGTGGCCGAGCAGTTCTCGAAGATGCGGCTGGGCTCAAAGAAGCGCACCCGGGACGTGGGTACCTTGAAAGCCAGGCACGTGTACTCGCGTGCAAAGTCGCTCACAGCACTCAGTCCCCGCTGGTGCCACCGTTGCAGCAGGTAGTAGAGGCGGCAGTGGCAGGGCAACGGGTTGTTGTGCAAGTGAAGGCCGTTCTTGAGAGAGGCTGGCAGCGCGGCCAGGTCAGGTATGCTGATATTTCCCAGGTGGTTGGAGGAGAGATCCAGGGTGAGGAGGTGGGTCGGGCTTAGACCGTGCAGGTGGTCAAAAGAGAAGGAGGACAGCTCGTTGCAACCCAGGTAGAGCCGGCGGAGCGCGCCCAGGCCCTGGAAGGCAAGTTGGTCCAAGTGCGCCAGGCGGTTATTGAACAGTAGCAGCATCTCCAGCGCCCCCAGTCCATCTAGGTCATGGCGGCCCAGCCTCCGCAGCGCGTTCGATGATAAATCGAGCAGGCGCAGGCTGCTGGCATTGATAAAGACTCCGCGACCCAGCGCCTGCAGCTCGTTGTGGCCTAGGCGCAGGGCCCGCAGTCGGAAGAGGGGCGTCAGCCAGCCAGGGCACAGGTGCTGGAGCGCATTGTGGCTCAGGTCGAGGTCGGCAGTGGCTGCAGGTAATGGGGCCGGCACGCTGGGCAGCCCAAGGCCGGCGCAGCTCAGCACGTCGGCAGCGCAGGTGCAGTTGTCAGGGCAGTTATGGGGCGCGGAGGACGAGGGGGCCTCGCAGCCCAGGGGACTTGACTCGACTCCCGGCGTGCACAGCAGTGCGCCCAGCAGCACCAGCCAGGCCATGGCGGCGGCGGCACCCCGGTAGCTCCGCGTGGGGTGCAGCTCCGGGGCTCACCCACTCCTGCCCTGGCTCAACGCGTGGCGCTGAAGGACCATTGGTGGCGGGGGAGGCCACTCCTGCTCCCCAGTTGCAGGTTGTGACTTGGGGCTGCGCTCCTCCCGGCACTCCCTTTCTGGGTCTCCCCAGCTCTGAGTGTTTTTCTCAACACTTCGCTTCTAAATACTCTCTGGGAGGCGATTACTCAGGGGCGGAGCCTCGGGCTTTCATTGGCTCCTGTTGGAGGGGGCGGGACAGCCGTGGCCCCAGCGAGCAAAGTCCCCCCCGTGGCCGCCAGAGGGGGCGCAACTCAGTCCCCAATGACCCAGCTGGCGCTGGGTCTGCCGATGCGATGCCCGCGGCGCGCTGAACAGCAGCAAGGGACTGTAGGAGGCAAGCCTTTAAGCTGCTGTTTCCTTTTAAGGGTTAATGTGCACTAGGGGGCAGGTGGGCTTTGCACTACTTCCTGGTGGTGCTCCTCAAACTGGCATCCTGGCTGTGTGAGTCCTGAGATTTAGGACTTTTGGGGGGTGAGAAATAGGGATGTGGGGTGGGCTGGATTGTTGCCCCCACCCCTGCAATAGTGCTCTCAGGTCCCAGCCTCCTAACTCCTCCTGCACCCTCTCCCACTAGGACGGAGAGAGCCACGTCAGTGCTCCTGGCTGACCCCTGCTTCCAGCTGCGCTCTATATGCTACCTGCTGGGGCAGCCAGAACCCCCTGCCCCTGGCACTGCCCTGCCTGCTCCTGACCGGAAGCGGTTTTCCCTTCAGAGCTGTGAGTTAGCCAGGGTGGGCCGGGGGAGGACCTGGGGCTGGGCCAGGAGATGGGTCTCAGAAAGAGCAAATCCCCAGGCTGGGGGTGCTCAGGGGCACTTGGTTCTAGGGCCACCGTGGGCCTAACAGCTCTTACCGTCCCCAGACCCAGATTACATCAGTGCTGAGGAGCTGGCCCAGGTGGAACAGATGTTGACCCACCTGACCTCTGCGTCTGCCCAGGCAGCGGCTGCCTCCCTGGTGAGTGGGGCCACCACATGGGTCTGCAGCCGTCACCTGAATGCACAACTGTGTGTACACATGTAGGCATAGTGTATGTTCACTTGCCTGGGCAACCAACCCCAGCCCCACTTTGCACTCTGCTCCCTGCAGCCCACCAGTGAGGAGGACCTCTGTCCCATCTGCTATGCTCACCCCATTTCCGCTGTGTTCCAGCCCTGTGGCCACAAATCCTGCAAGTAAGTGTACCCCATGGGTGTCAGAGGTGGGGCAGGGCAGGGTGGGGCAGGGCGGGGGAGCAGCAGGGATACACTGGCCACCCTCACCCCTCCTGCTGTAGAGCCTGCATCAACCAGCACCTGATGAACAACAAGGACTGCTTCTTCTGCAAAGCCACCATCGTGTCTGTAGAGGACTGGGACAAGGCAGCCAACGCAAGTGCCACATCCTCAGCTGCCTAGGTCTGCCCAGTCCACACAGCAGAGCCTCCACCCTTGAAGTCAGACCCAGGACGGGCCCTATTTATGAGCTCCCCTCGCCGGTCCCCGCACCTCCCACCACCACATCCAGCCTTCTCGCCTGTGGGTGATCTCCCTGGTGGGAGCCCAGCCATGCCCTACTTGTGCCTGAGCTTCACTTTCAGTCAGGGCCACAGTGAGCATTAAATTATTATTCCATACAGCCCTGGCCCGGCCCTTCTTGAGGGAGTGGGCATTGTGGGATGTGCCCAGCAAGGACCCTGCCAGATCTTGTCCACAGGAAAAGGCAGGTGTCCAACAGTTTCCACCTTGTGCAGGCCTCCCCAGACAAAAGGCTACAAGTCCAGGGCCTTCTGGCAGGTCAGGCCGGTGCTCCCCTTGCCAATAATGGGGCCTCAGCCAGCCCCACGGCAGCCCCTCACATGATGATTCGAGGTTCTGGCACAGACTCCCCAATGGACTTGTGGGGCAGCACACTGGCCCCGTTGAGGTAGAGCTCGTCGTTAACTATGACGTCCTCACCCAGCACGGTCACATTCTCCATTCGAACCTCGGGGGAAGGGGCAGGCCTTGTCAGCGAAGCAGACATGTTCCCCGCCCCCTCCCTGTGGGACCCAGCCCAGAGGCTCACCCACTGGCCCACGCGGCAGCGCCAGCCCACAATGCAGGACTCAAGCCAGGAGTGGGAGCGGATGTGGGCGTCCCGCAGCACGGTGCACCGCCGGATGCACACGCCATCCTCCACCACCACGCCAGGGCCCAGGCTCACGTTGGGGCCGATGCTGCAGTTCCGGCCAATGCGGGCACTTGGGTCCTGAGGACAGAGGGGAGAACACAAGTAGGCCATCTGTCCCCCAAGACTGAGGGGGTTAATGATGGGCTGGACAAGGGCCTCACCACCAGCACGTTGCCCACAATGCCAGGGCCTGAGCACAGCTGCTCAGGCTTCTTCTGTCGCAGCGACTGTAAGAAGAGGCACATGCCGGTGAGGAAATCCTTGGGCTGCCCAATATCCATCCAGAAGCCTGTAGGGAGGGAATGCCTCAGGGGCTCAGCCCAGCCACAGACCACCCCCGCCCTGTGGCCTTCCTGCCTCACCCTGCAGCTCCATGGCATATAGCTGCCCCTCCTTGGCCATGACAGGGAAGACCTCCTTCTCAATGGACGTAGGCCGCAGCTGTGGGAGTGGGCAGCTTGTGAGCAGGGTCATGGCAGTCGCAGCCTGCCCGACCCCAGCCCCTCCGAGAGCTGCCTCTACACACCTGGATGCGCCGCAGCACGGCAGGGCTCAGGATATACATGCCTGCGTTGATCTTGTTGGACACAAACACCTGCGGCTTCTCCACGAACCGGTGAATGCGGCCCGTGTCAGCCTCACACACCACCACACCGTACTTAGAGGGTTCCTCCACTTTGGTCACCTGAATGCAGGGGGACCTCAAGCCTAGTCCAGTGTTCCTGAACCTCAATACGCATGCTGTCCTACGTCAGGGGCTGTGCCCCAAATGCTTCTAGTCTGCACAGCTCTGCACCCCCAACATAAGCGAGCAGTTCAAGGCTGGGGGGTGGGGGCAGCGGGACGCGGGAGGTGGGAATGTCAGAACAGAGAGACCTGGTCCTTACCAAAATGGAGCCCTCCTGGCCATGGTGCCGGTGGAACTGCACCATGGCTTGGAAAGGGAAATCGCAGATCACGTCACTGTTGAGAACGAAGAAAGGGTCTGTGGTTTCGGAAAGCAAGTCACGGGCCAGTGCCAGGGGTCCAGCTGCGGGGTTGGGGGGAACAGGTAGGTCATCATTTCCCTGGGGGGTCTGAGCTCTGGATCCAGGCTCAGCAGGCCCCATCCAGGCTGGGTCTTACCCCTTTCCTAGCCCTAAACCCTCCCCAAGGGACCTTTCTCTCTCTACTGACCTGTCCCCAAAGGCTCCTCTTCATGGGACATGGAGATTCTGATTCCTAGCTGGAAGGGAGAAGCCCCAGTTAGGTTCCTCCCACCACCGTGGGTGGGAGGCTGACAGGGGACCGAGGGAAGGGCCAAGAGTCGACTCAAGCCTCACCCTCTGCTCCTGCGCCTTCATTTCCTTCTCCAGCACCTGAGACATGTAGCTCACAGCCAGAATCACGTGGTCCACACCTGCCTGTCGGACAGAACAGCGCCCGCAGACAGGCGGGCTTAGCCAGAGGCATGGGTGCCCCGTGCCCCCCGCCCCAGCTGGCTCGCCGCCCTGCCACTGCCACGTCCTACCACGACCCTGGGCCTTACCGCGGCCAGCGCCTCCACCTGGTGCAGCAAAATGGGCTTGTTGCAGAAGTCCACCAGTGGCTTCGGGATGCTCAGCGTCAGCGGGCGCAGGCGCGTCCCGTAGCCGCCCACCAAGATCAGTGCCTTCATTGCGCCTGCGGGCGGGCGGCCGGAGGCTGAGGCCTGGCTCCACGGTGTCCGCGTCCCACCTGGCCGACCCCTACCACTCTCTCCTGCCGCCGGGCCCGGCCCCGTGCCCTTCACCTGCTGGACTGACCAACTCTGGATCTGTCTTTTCCACTCAGGACGCCCTGACGCCAAAATCCGGAGCGCCACTAGCCAGGACGTAGCGCCGGATGGAGGCTCGCTGGCCCGACACTCAGGCCAGCCCCGGACCGGCGGTGACGTAAGGCCTGGCGGACCAATCGGCGGCCGTGTACGTGGCACGGCCGCCGGCGACGCACCGCTGGGGCGCGGCTCCAGCAGACGTAACCAATGAGAGTCCGAGCGCGCCCGGCTGCCATGGGAACCGCGCCCGGGACCCTGCGGGTCAGCCGGCCATTGGCGACTCCAAAGGCGGAACTGGCGCCAAGGGCGAGGCTGCCTTCCATCCCAGCACCTGTGGAGTCCACCACACCCCCGCCGCCTTCGGTCCCTTTCCCGCCCGTCCCGGGAGGAGCCAGCGAGGGCCAGAGCCGCCTGTTTTCCGGAAGCCACAGGTTCTTCACAGAGACGGACACACCTGAGTTTCTAGCGGCTTTATTTTGACATACACGACCTCAGACACAAGCGGGGCGGGCAGCGCTGGGTGTACAGAAAGGGGCGGCTCGGCCCAATCCCGAGCGCCCCTTCCCCTGCACGCAACGTCCCGAAAACACGCAACTGCGCGGGGACATATACCCGGAGCAGGCTTCGGGTGGCGAGGACAGGGAAGTGGAGCGAGAAAGCAGTTCCCATAGGCAGAGCCTTACAGTTCCCGGAGAAACAAAAGGCCTCTCCCGGGGTTCTCCCAACTTTCCCCCTCATTAAACCATTTTTTAAATCGGCACAAAGAAAACCAAATCTAACATCTTTCAAGTTCAAAGCAATCTGCATCTAGGGGGCGTGCACGTGGCCAGGTGTGAGCGAGCGAGCAGCGGCTACAGAACTAGCCTAGGTCTTTGGCCCCTTGGGAGAGTCCCCAGGCCCACGGCACAGGCCCCAATGTGAGGGAGGGTGGGGTCCCTGGCAAATTGCTACACTGGTCCCCTTCCTCTTTAAGCACCGCCCGATCCCACCCCTCAGGGGGCTGGTGTCACTTGGCCCAAGGAAGCACTATAGAGAGGGGTCACTTGAGTGCCCCAGCCATGATCCCACATTGCACTTTGGTCCCAAGTTGGGGCTGGGAAGGCAGGGCCTGGCAAGGACGGGGCTCTGGCAGAGCAGAAAGGGCGGTGGCAGAGGGCATGTGCACACACGCATGCCAACCATCCGCCAGGTCACAGGGCTGAGTCTCCAGGTGTCGTAAGTGCTGAAAAGGGGACCCACCCTGGGGGAGAAGTAGCAAACCTCAGACCCTCTGCTCTTCTCAATGCCAGGAAAATACAGCCTCTGCTATGGAGAGCAGAAGGGGGGCGGCATCTGCTCCCAAACGTAGGGCCTCACGAGGCTCAGCACACCTCCAGGTGGGAGAGGTTCAATCAAAGGAATCCCAAGGGGCCCTGGGTCTCAGCCTCCGTCCTGCCAGGAAATGACTGACTACACTAATGAAAAGCCGCTGTCCCTATGGCTGAAGCCACAGAATGGTACAGGACAGAAGGTCATTACTGACCAAAAACAGGCAAGCGGTCCCTCCCAGCCCCTAGGAATGGGGACCTGCCCGCCACTGGCACCAGGGCGGGAGGGCTGAGGCGGGCTCCATCCAGGAGCCCATCTCAGCGTGCGAGGCTGCATCTGAGGGCCAGAAAATCAGTCCATTGGTCACCACAGCGCCTCACAGACACAGGCTAACAAGCTTAACCTTTAATGCCCAAACAGGGACATGCCCAGAGTGACAATGACAGAGACCCTAGACTCAGAGGTGAGGGCACTAACCTTGGCAATGGTTAGTGATTGCTGTGTCACCTCCTGGCCACAAGTGTTAAAGGTGGCAGGTCCCTGTGCCATTAAGGGCTGGCAGCAAAAGCAAAAACCAAAACCGCGGGAAGGAAGGGCCCCTTCTGGGGCCTTAACCGCACCGCCTTCCGCGTTGTGGGCACCACACTGCTGGCTGCAGAGGTGGCGCTGGGCCCGCAGGGAAACACCACCTGCAAGTCGTTTTGCTAACCAGTTCTTTGTAAACAGGTAACACCTGCCAAAGGGCACAGGGGCAAAACTCACCTCAGAAATGGGAAAGAGGATGTTTGCTGAGGGAAGAATGAAGGAAATCAATATTTACTAATGAACAAGGCTACACCCCAGCAGAAGGATCCCAGGAGACAAGGGATGGCAGTTGGACACATGGACAGATTAATGGACCCCAGGACTGATAAAACAAAAATTCTCGTTAGCAGGACCCGGGCACCTGCACCGTCCCCACGTGCAGACGCGCTTAAAGCTCTTCCTTGTGAGCCGGGAGCTCCTCCCAAAGGCTGCTGCCTCGAGCTTTGCCTCGGAGAAGGCGAGACCCTGAGCCAACCGCAGCCCCTGCGCCCTGGGGGGAGCGGCCCGCCCAGAGGCAGCACAGCTGCCTCAACTCCCACCCACAGCACACGAACTGCCAATACAGCCTTGGCCAGAGTCACCGGAGGCCCAGAGGCCCGCTGGGACACAGACTCTTCCTGGGCAATGGAGCAGGGACCCCTTCAGCAGGGGCAAGATATCTGGGTGAGAAAGGCTGGCTGGCTCGCAGGCGCGGGGTGCGGGGGGAGGTGCAAGTGCCTGGGAGCCCCAGGGCCTGCCCCCCGCCACAGGCAGACTCTGCCCAGCTTCACGAATCTTGCCTCACGCCCAGGTCAGAACCCAGAAGGATGGGTCCAGCTGTGTGCAGCTGGCCTTGAAGTGCCCTGGGGACGTCAGTTGAAGAGCGGCTGACACCCACAACAGTGGAACACATCCCCCTAGAGACGGCCCCGATGCCTCTACTGCTGAGGAACAAGGGATGGGCGGGCACGGAGGGGTCCTTTGCAAGCCCAGAGCTTTATCCCACAGCCAGCAGGGCCCTGCAGCCACAGACCCCAAAAACCTAGGCGAGAAAAACCTATGTCCAAGGGTGCCCTGTCCCTGCTGCCAAGCCCACCAGGGGCTCCTCTTCTAAGTCAGCCTGGACACTGCAGTCAGAGCCGTAGAGCTCAGAGGCCTGGCTGAAAGGATGTGTGTTCTGCCCTCCTTCTCTTTATATATATGGATTCCAGGCTACAGCTAAAAACATTTCTTTTAGTTTACACCCAAGAAATATAACCCTTTAAAAGCAAGTCTGTGTGTCCCCGCCGCGAGTTCAGATCAATGGTCCCTGCCTGCGGGTAGAGAGGAAGGGGTTCTGGGGCCCCAGAGCTGGGCCTACTGGTTCTCGTCCCGCATCTGTTCCATGATGCTGATGAGGTTCTCCAGGCCAAACACATAGCCTCGGTCTGGCCCGTCATGCACGGTGGGGTCATCCCGGAAGCCCTTGAACGTGCTGTGTGCAAAGTCGATCATGCGGACGTCCACCTTGGGTGGAGAGGAGCCCACCTCCGGGTTGGTGCTGCTGGGGCTGGTACCAGGGCCACAGGATGATGCCACCTCAGGCAGCCCTGGGTCTAGGTGCTTGAGACGCATCTCGGACCGGCGGTCCAAGCAGGACTCAGCCCGACACTCCTTGCCATCGTAGATGACAAGCAGCGAACTGGAGTAGAAGCGGTAGGAGGCCTGCCGCTCCAGCACCGCTTTCAGGCCCCGCAGTTTGCTCAGGATGGGCTCAAAAAGGTCACGTCGCAGGTCCAAGCCGTTGTGCAGGTACTGATAGAGAGCGTTGCGGAAGCCTTCGATGGAGAGCCCACGGCCATAGTACTTGTTCCTGCAGAGGTAATGCCCTGTGTCCAGCTGGTACACCTGAAACCCCAGGAGACAGACAAGGGTAAGTGCCAGGTCATCCAATGACCTCACAGTGCCCTAAGCAAGCACAGTCTGGAATGCGCTCCTAACCACCCTGAGCTTTCCTGCTCACCCTTCACAGCTGAGGAGGCAGCCAGGTTCGCCCTAAGTATTCCTGCAGTAAAGTCAGGAGTGAGGAGAGCAGAGCCGAGAGTCCTCTGCCAGCACTTTTTTAAAAGATTTTATTTATTTTTAGACATAGAGGGAGGAAGGGAAATGTTGATGTGCAAGTGAAACACCAACTGGCTGCCTCTTGCACATGCCCCAACGAGGGACCGAACCCACAACCAGGCATGTGCCCTGACCAGCAATCAAGCCAGCAACTCCCCTCTTTGCAGGCCGCCACCCAACCCGCTGAACCCACCGGCCAGGGCTGCCATTTCCTCTGAAGTCCTCTTCCAAGCTTCCCTGTGGCCCAGCTGGACTCAAACTAAGAACATCTTACTGCCAGAAAAGTCTCACTTGCCCAATGTCAAGGCAACAGGCCCTCACAGTAGCTCTGTACCCAGAGCCCAGACCAAAGTCACAAGGTAAGGACAAGAGAGCTCACAGAACATACTTACAAGGACGCGCCCCCGCACCCTGTGGGGGCCACCCTCCCGGAGGAGATTCTGGACCAGCAAGGACGAGGGGAGCACCTGGCAGGGGCAGCGGCAGGCCCGCGGGCACCCTGAGGCACGCCAGCGGCGGCGCTGGCCCTCACCTGCATGCCGCAGACCCGGACCCCCAGCGACGCAGACGTGCTCTGCTCGCACTTCCTCATCTGCCGGGCCGCCTTCTCGGCAGAGGCGTCGTCGCCGTGCTGCCGGGTGCCCATCTTCAGGTCCAGCACGCAGGGGCACTTGAAGTGGTGCACCACGTTCTCCAGCAGCAGGAACTCTGGGCCGTGGTCAAGGAGAATGACAGCCGCGCTCTCCGCCGGCCGCAGCCAGCAGAGCATAGGCGGGTTTTTCTACAGAGGGGCAGTCTCGTCTGACGTGACCTGCAGTCACCTCACAAACTCTCCAATGTGGATTTCACACCAATGGCTTGTTATTTCTTTAAAAAACTTTTATTGTGGTAAAATAAAAATAACAAAAAACTTGCCATTTTAAGTATTTTTAAGTGCGCAGCTCGCTGGCACTAAGCTCACTCACACAGTTGCGAAGCCATCGCGGTCACGGGCCCCAGGACACCTACGTGTTCCCCGCAGAGCCTGGGGCAGCCCGCTGCGTGCCGACTCCCACCCGCCGCCAGGCCTGGCAGCCACTGACTGTCCTTCGGTGTCTGCTATTTCACTTAGCCAAATGTTCTCAAGGTTCCTCCATATTGTGGTGTGACAAAATTTCATTTCTTTTCATGGCTGAATAAGGTTCCATTTTATGTATATACCATCTCTACTGAAGTCACCATGTTTTCACTCTTTAGGTCTGTTGTGCAGACCTATACAAACTAAAGAAGATTCTGGCAGATTCACATACGTCCCTGCGCCAAGAGTGAACCTAGGCCCGCTCCAGCCAGCGCATCACGCAGGTCTCAGAAATAAGGTGTCTTCAGAGCACCACTATAAAAATGAAAAGTTAGATTTAACATTCCCAAATGGGAAGCTTTAGAAAAGCTGGTTTAAATTCCTATCTTGTCAATTTCTGACTTCAAATCAGTGGACTACGTATTTAAGGCTTATCCTTTAGTGCTTCTAGGATCTTCTGCTCAAAACAGCTCTACGGTCCTGGCACTTAAATCCCCGTCGTCATCTACGGCTACTGTCTGCAATAATCCTGGATAAAGGCACAGGCTCTTCCCATGTTTGCCCAAAGTCACTGGGGCTCACGGCCTGGACCTCCATTCCGTATGTGGGGACGATGACATGATCACAGAGTCTCAGAGGGTGACACCCAGTATCACTCTGATGAACACTTTAGCATCTCCTAATTCTTTACAGAATAACTGAGAGAAAACCATTAAATTTGGCCTTTCACCTGTCACCTGCTATAACCTATAAATAAGTGACGATGAACTTTAAGGATGGCTGCAGGAACCTGACTGCGGCGAAGTGCTCAGCGCGCTTGCCCTTGGTCTCTCAGGGAGTGGTAGTTACTGTCGACAGCTGTAACACACTGAGTAGTTACAGGTTTCCCACTTCATAATTAATACATTTTTACCTTTGAGCATCTTAAAACTATTTTACATTGGAAAGGTATAGTGTTTACCTTTAGACAAAACAAAAAAAAAACCCCTTCAGAATCAAACATATTACTTTTTAATTATTATCTTTTGGGAGGGGAAAATGCACATGCATGTCTGTGTGCGTGTGTACAAGCGCACATACAGATCCCCAATTCTAGACATGCACTGACCAATATGGCGGCCATCGGTCACATGTGGTGATTTAAATTTTCATAAAAATAAATTTTAAAATTCGCAGCAGCCGGTTTCGGGTGTGCGGCGTCTCCCATGCTCACGAAGCCCGGACACAGTGCCCCCACCACCACCGGGAGTTCTGCCGGGCAGCGTGCTCCTCGCCTGCGGGCTTAGGGTTCAGATGCGACAGCACCAAGAAGCCGAAAAAACATGCTGATGAAAGGAAGGAGAAAGAAGAGCAAGAAGTACCTATGAAAAAGGGAGATGAGAGCAAAAGAGAGAGCCCTGGGAGCGAGGGTGCCCGACCCCGGATGCGGACCCGGACCCCAGGAGCGGACACTGCCACGGAGCAGCCCCAAGGATACTGTAGAGCTTTCGGTCCTTGGACTCGGAGCGCATGCGGCTCAGCTGCTGCTTGTGGCAGCGCAGGCTCCAGGGGTTGTGGCTGATCTTCTCGGAACTCAGACCGCTATTGCCATCTAACATCTGGAAAGGGACGTCTGAGTGGCTGTGTAGCTCGACCTTCGGACTCTTTGCCTCCTGGGAGCTAAGGAGAAAGAACACACACAGGTCACCCTCGGGGGCTCACAGCACAAGGTGGATCCGGCCCACTTTGCCACGCACAGACTCTGCTGGCGGTGGCATGGGGGCCCAAAGGCATGAGCACATCCGAGCGAGTGAGTGCTTACGAGCGATCTTCCCGTGTCCCTGAAAGACACCTGAAAAATAACTCTTTGCATTAAACTATGAGATGAAGTCACCACTTTACATCCATTAGGAAGGCTATTATAAAAAGAAACTGTTCCCCCAACCGTTACTGGGGAGGGGAAGAAACTGGAAGCCTCATAGACTGCTGGGGGGAACGTAAAACAATGCAGCCCCCGTGAAAAAGTTTCACAGCTCCTCAAAAAAGGTAAACACAGAATTATCATGTGAGCCAACAATTTCACACCTTGGGATATACCTGAAAAACATGAAAACAAAAACTCAAACACACGCTTCATGAATGTGCGCAGCAGTATTACAGTAAACAAGAGCTGGAAACACCCCAAGTACACATCAGCAGATGGATGGATAAACATGGTACATCTATGGAGTGGAATATTACTGAGGTATAAAAAGGAACCAAATTCTGATACATATTACCACCTACCTGAACTCTGAAAATGTATTGCGAAGTGAAACAAGCCACACAGAAAAGGAGGAATGTTGTATGATTTCCACTTACATGAGGTAACTCAAATTCACTCAGAAGTTAGAATGGTTAAGTTGCCAGGGGCAGGGGGGAAGGAGGAGTGGAATTTTTAATAATGTATAGAGCTGCTTTTGAGGATGATGAAGTAGTTCTGGGGACGGATGACAGTGACGGCTGCACAACAATGCGAATGTGCTTAATGCCACGCAACTGCATGCTGGGGAAAGGTGAAAATGGTAAATTTTGTGAGTGTATTTTACCACAATTTTTAAAAATACAAAAATTAGCCCTGGCTAGTGTGGCTCAGTGGATTAAGCACCGGCCTGCAAACCAAAAGGTTGCTGGTTCGATTCCTGGTCAGGGCACAGGCCTGGGTTGCGGGCCAGGTCCCCAGCTGGGGGTGTGTGAGAGGCAACCAATGGATGTTTCTCTCCTTCTCTTTCTACCCCCCTTCTCCTCTCTCTAAAATTAAATTAAATCTTTTTTTAAAAACTAGAATTTCTTTTAAAAAAATAAGTAAGTCAAACCACAAACTGACTCCTATTCAGAACTCTGGCCCTCACTGTTGTCCCAGTAGGCCAAGGCTGCAAGGTCAATTCTCGGTTAGGACACACACAAGTGACAACCAATGAATGCATAAATAAGTGGAACAGCAACATATCAACTGGGTCTCTGTCTCTGCCTCCCTCTCCAAAATCAATTTTTATTTTTTTTAAAAAGCTCCCTGGCCGGGTAGCTCAGTTGGTTTGAGTGTCATCCTGATATGCCAAGGTTGCAGGTTCAATCCCTGGTCATGGCACATATAACAATCAACCAATGAATGCATGAATAAGTAAAACAAATCAATGTTTTTTTCCTCTCTCGCCCTCTCTCTAAAAAAGAAAAAGAAAAAAAATCAAAACTTTACAACCACCTCATTTTTTCCCAGCATTAAGGCCTTTGCTTGAAGTAACTCGCAAGGCTGCTCATCATGCTGCCAAGCAAAGCAAAGTGCAAGCAAAGCCCTGTGCCCTGATTCAGGCTCGGCAAGGCTGAGGCTCAGAGCAGAGGCGGCTACCGCCGCAATGTGAATCTCACTGTCCTCTCCAGAGCTGCTGATGCTCCCCAACAGCGTGGCACTGGCGGAGATCCCATGCCCCTTTAACTGGAGGAGACGAGCCCGCCAGTGCCTCTCGGCATGACAAAAGTCCCATTTTCTTCTGGTGAGCACACTGCGGAGGCCGTTCCCGGGTGCCTTTTTGTGGTCTCCATTTAGCCACTGCAAGAATGACTTGTTTGCCAAGTCCACCCAGGTCGGCTCTCTGCTCCGAGATGACGCCCCTGCAGTGCTCAGCACCCCCTCAGTGACAGCCTCGGCCCTGGGGAGGCAGGGGCTCCGCTCCTGGGTGTGGCTGAGACTCTGCTAACAAGCCACACAGAAGTCTGGTCATTGCAGACACAGCTGTCACCTTCAGGGCAGGGCCCTGAACCTGGACATGGGCAGACTTTGACGTGGTTCTACGTCCACTGACTTTTCACCCGATGACGCAGGAAATAACTTCTGTGCCTGTGGAGGTGAAAAGAAAGCCCACCACTAGGAGCTGCTGCGAGGCACAAACTGCCAGCTATGGACTCGGGGAGCAGTCCTCGTCACGTGAATGACCAAGCTTAGGTCCCACAATCATCAGTCACGAGAAAGCCTCTTGGGGAATGAAAGGGCAGCCCTCCGAGCTGCGTGGCTACAGTCCACGTCCCACAAGCCTCCCCAACCTCTGGGGACCCTGCTTCCGAGGAAGCAGGGGCAAAGCCTCTCCTGGCGTCAGAGATGCAGACCTGGCCACACAGGACACCAGCTGAGGACACAGGAGGTGGCACATCACACACCCAGCCAGAGTCCTGTGGGGTTCTGCACTCCTTGATGTGAGTGTGTCCCCTTCCATCACAGGGAGTGAGGAGACGGGGGCGCCCTGGGCCCTGCGCTTCAGGAGCCAGGTGTGCAGCATGCACTGTTGAACCGATCTGATGGCAGAATTAACCACATGCTGCCACGTCTAAGTCCAATTCCAGCTGAGCCAGGTGCCAGGGCATACTGTGCCCAGGATTTTACAAGGTTGTAAACATCACCACTACCTAACTGTTGGGACATTCCATCACCCCAAAATCAGAACCATCAGCAGTCTTTCCTATCCTCCCCTCCCCCGGCCTCTGGCATCTGCTAACATGCTTTCGTCTCTATGAATTTGCTTATTCTGAACATTTCATATAAACAATCATAAAACGTGGTTTTTTGTGACGTGCTTCTGTCACTGAGCATGATGTTTTCAAGGTTCATCCTTCTTGTAGCACATATAAGTACTCCATCCTTTTCATCACTGAGTAACAGTCTATTGTATAGATACATCACATTTTATTTACCCATTCATTAGTGAATGGACACTTGAGTTGTTTCCACTTTTTGACTCTTAGAAATAATGCTGCTATGAACAAAACTGTGCAAGTTTTGTGTGTGTTACATTTCTTCAGTTCTCTTCGGTATATACCTAGGAATGGAATTGGTGGGTTTAACTTTTTAAAGAACTAATTGTTTTCCAGAGTGGCCGCACCATTTCACATTCCCATTAGCAAGGCAGGATGCTTCCAGTTTCTCTAGTTCTCACCACACTTTCACTGTCTGTCCTTTTGATTATTGACCCCCTAGTGGGAGCTCACACTGTTTGCATGAAATAGCAAGAAACACAATTCTTTGTAGACTATTTTCCTAATCTCGAAGCAAAATCAATTTCCGATGCAATAAACAAAATTTGGGGGCAGGGAAGGGTCCGCAGCCGATCAGAGCCTCAGAGTTCTGCCACCGGAAGCCCCCAAAGAACTGGCCTGGATGGCTTCTCGCTGCCCTTCGGCTCTGACACCCTGCAGGGCACAAGGAAGCTGCAGCCTCACCAACCGCTGCCTTCTGACCTTCTAGAAGTCTGGACGGTGACAGATATAACAAAGCCGGAGAGCGCAGGAGGGCACCCTTCCTTCCCAAGGGCTGCCAGAGCTTCATTCTCTCTCAGACAGCTACGACCACGCTCAGAAGTTGTCATCGGGCCATATGACACACGGGATAGGTTGCACCTAGGCGGGTGGCCTAAGAGCACCAGCCACCTTCCCCCACCGCGGGCCTTGCTGCCCTGTGCGCACCATTTCAGGACTCTGGGTGCTGGCGCTGACAGGACCAGGCCGCGCCTCACCCTGCTCGCACCCCCTTACCTCTCAGAGGTCTCCAGGGACAGGCTGGCCCTCTCTTCCTTGTGGTCGCTGCCACTGCCTGACCGGTGCAGGCTCCGGCGGGAGTGTTTGCGCCGAGGCTGCTCCCGCTCGGGCGCGTCATCCTGCTCCACCGCCTCACTTTCCACGTAAGGGTAGGCCACCAAGTTGATGTAACCATCACTGTCCCCCTCAAAACAGACAGACACCACACCTGTGGGAAAAAAGGCAGCCAGTCAACACGTCCACATGGGCTGGGTCCACGCAGCACAGACAGCGGCGCAGGCTGCCCCGCGCGGACAGCACCTGCCCGGAGCACACCGGCAAGCACAGCCCGCAGGTACCCCCCCAGAGCACGGCCAACGGCTCACGCCCTCCGCGTTCGCTCCTTGCCCTCTGCTGTGTATGAATCTACACTTACTTCCCACTCCCTTATCAAGAGCCCTCCCTCACAATTAACGACCCCTGTGCCACTAAGGGCGTCCTGTGGCAACAGGGGTAAAGTGAGGGCCTGCAGTCACAAGTGCATGGGAGCCAACGCAAAGGAGCCCAGTGGCTGGATACGGAATAATTTCAGGAATAAAACATCACTAAGTCCATCACAAAAATGAATGGGTGAGAAGAGGTAATTCTTCCTTATAGAACTGTAATTCCTTTTAAATAATAAATATATTATTGACAATGGAAATACAAGTCACCATTAGGCAGGCAGCATAGTGGAAACTGTTGCAGGCAAGAAGCACGGATGGATTCTAAAATTAGTGGGCTCAAGTGTGATAAGAAACAGGATATTCAGAGTCTCAAAATGTTGTCCCTAAGATATTCATTAATTGCAATGGGGAAAAAAATAGCTTTACCAAGTGATCAAAGTTCAATCACCAGTAACAAGACATATACCTCCTGACATGATGAACTGCAGAGGACAAAGGGTCATTTCTGTTGCCCAAAATATATAACCTTAATCTAATCATGCCCGAATGGAGGGACCTTCTGCAAAATAACCACTGGGACTCTTCGAAAGTGTTGAGGTGAAGGACAAAGAAAAACTGAGAAACTGTCCTGGACTGGAAGAAACTAAGGACTAAATAAAATGTGAAATCCTGGACCAGAAGGACATAGTGGTAACACTGCCAATACCTGAATACAGTTTACAGATTAACTGGTAGTATTATCTCAATGTTCCTTTTCTGGTTTGAGTAATTATAAATTGTACTATAGTTATACTTTTTAATATGATGCTTTTACTGATACTCAACAAGTGGCCTAAACACTGATTTCAGTGTAAGTCTCGTTACCAAGAGGCATGCCATTCCCTCTACCATCAGGTACTGAAATCCGCCTAAGGGGCAAGAAGTCCGCGCTGGGGGCCAGAGGCTCCCAGGCCCTCACCCCGTGTGCCCGCAGGCTGGCACGGCCCATACGGCCCGCGCAGCCCTCCTGTTGCAGCACGGACCACAGCACGCCCGCCACAGCGAGCTCCTGTGCAACAAGCCAGCAGCTCTTCCCAAGGGCCGAGTTCATGGAGCTCAGTGGCTTTTTCTTTTCTGCTTCTCTCTCTCAGCTGAAGCGCAGCCGCATCTACCACTCAGCTGTTAATGAGGGTTAATTTTACAGCATTATGCATGTGGCCAAACAGGGAGGACAAAAATGTGCCATGTTTCCTTCTCCTTTGATGGGACACATTGTTTAGACACTGAACTTCATGTGAGTCTTTGGCAAGTTCTTCCAAATTAAAGTAAAACTCAGCTGATACTCATGAAGGGGCTTAGTCTGCTCGCCGAAGACCTCAAGGTTTCCTGGCATACTCTTGACTCCTAAACGCCCACTTAAGCGGACAGGACCCTGCAGTGGCCATGGGGCAGGCGGCGCAGCGAAAGGAGGAAGTCCCAGGGTCTGCATTGATCATGATGTCTTTCAGTGCCCTGTAATCCTTTCCAAGCACCAAATTTATTTTTTATCCTCACCTGAGGACATGCTTATTGATTTTAGAAAGAGGGGCAGGGAGGGAGAGAAACATCTATGTGAGAAAGAGGCATCGACTGGTTGCCTCTCACTTGTGTCCTGACCAGGGAGCTAAACCTGCAACCCAGGCACGTGCCCTGACCGGATGTTGAGCACAGGGCAACACTCCAACCGACTGAGCCACACCAGCCGGGGAACCAAGCACTGAATTTAAGTCCAGTTGCACTGAGCAACAGAGCAGTGGCTAATCAGCTTGGATCAGGTTGATTACATCCAAGTCTGCATCTGGCACCTGAATCATCTTGGAAAGACCATCAACCACAGCTTCCAATTCATACCCACGTTTTAAAATATCATCTCAACAGAACTCAAGAGCTTGAAGAGATGGGTCAGACTCTTCCTCCAAGGCTGCAGCCGGGTATGTTAGGGAGCCAGTACATGAGGGGCTCTTCACGCATGGACAGACGCCACCCAGTAACAGGGCTTTGCCTGGCCCACTGGCCTTGTGGGAGCATTAGAAGATGCTGAGTATATGGGAACTCTCTTATCTTTACGATTTTTCTGTAACTCTAAATTTATTTCAAAATAAAAGGGAAAAACTCTATGCTGTGGCCTTTGAAACAGATACACTGAACTAATATCTTCAATTTTCTTTGAAGAAACTGGGCTTTATTTGACTTCAAAGAAGAGAATTATTTTCATTTAATTGAATTGTATTTCTGAGAAAGTAGATGTTTTTGAGTGAAAATGCAGCTGGAGGAAAGAAAGTCAAGTAGACACTAAGGATCTGCTGCGGCTTTTAAAGCCTTCCGTTCCGGGGTCTGCGAGAACGGTGGCGGGAAAACGGAACCCATGCTCAGACCAAGGCACCTGGAGGTTCCAACCGGCCCCGTTCCGGGGGGCCGTGACTCAGAGAACATGTCCCTGGGGCTGGGCTCATCCCTTCTCAGGGGTGTTTCCCTCAGCAGCAGCAGAACTCAATGTGCCAACAGGATCCGGAGTTCTTGTTCTGGTTTTGGCGTATTTATAGCAAAGGTTTCGCCGTGGACACGCTGAATGGGGACAAGTAAGTAGCTGAAGCTGCGTTTATCAAGCATTTGCAACTGTCATTTCTTTGCCACTTAAGAGACAGCAGTGCATTTGATTCTGGCTTCCCTCTTATTTTGCAGCCTTAGAATATTTATTCCTCCAAATTCAATATTCTTCTGATTCTGTTTTGAAGACAACAGCAAACAACTCATCCAATTCAAAACTGCCAAAAGGATTTGAATAGACATTTCTCCAGAGAACATGTATAAATGGCCAATAAGCATGTCAACATCATTAGTCATTAAGAAAATGAAAATCAAAACCACAATGAGATACCTGCTAGGATGGCTATAATAATTTCTTAAAATGGAAAACAAGTGTTGGCAAGGGTGTGGAGAAATAGGACCACTGCTGGTTAAGAATGTCAAATAGTATAGTTGCTGTAAAAAAAATAGAACCTCGAAAACGTTAAACACAGAAGTACCATATAACCCAGCAGTTCCACTCCCAAGTATATACCCAAAAGAAGAGAAAACAGATAGGGACTCAAAACAGGTATCTGTACGCTAATCTTCACAGACGCATTACCCACAGTGGCCAAAGGTGGAAACAACCCAAATGTCCATCAAGAGACGAATGGAAAAGACCGAGTGCGATACATTCACAATGGAATTGTGCTCAGCCTTAAGAAATGACGTTCTGATTCATGCTGCAGGACGGCTGGACTTTGAAAACATTATGCTAAGTAAACTACGCCAAACACACAAGGACAAAAATTACATGGTTCTATTTACTTGAAATATCTAAAGTGGGCAAATTTGTAGAGACAGAAAGTAGATTAGAGGTTATGAGGGGTTTGGGCAAGGAAGAAACAGGAAGTTACTATTTAATGGGTGCCGAGTTTTTGTCTGAGGCGATGAGAAAGTTCTGGAAATAGATAATGATAATGGTTATACAACACTGTGAATTTACTCAGTGCCACTATATTATATACTTAAAAAGGGCAAATTTCATGTTATGTATATTTACCATAATAAAAAAAAAAAGAGTAAGGAAGCAAAGTCAATACTGATATGAACTGGTTTTTCTAAACTGAGGATTCCCTAAGGATGGTGTAAACATGAGTGAATTTATACAGCTTTAGAAATGTTAAAAATCAGAACACAAAAAATATATAACTTACACATGATGGGCAATCATAAAATTGTATATACAGTGACAAAAATCGGACTTTAAAATAAAGCGACTTAATTCTGGTGTATATTCATGGGGCCCTGCTCTATAACTTACATTTAAAACATATGGTTCTTCCTTCAAAAGCCGGGACCTCCAAAACTCAGCCCTCCCGTAACTGCCTTGCCGTCGGCCCGCTCGCGCGGCACACAGGCCGGGGCACCGCAGAGCCTCCTTCCGGCTGCCTCGCCACCTCAGCCTGGAAGGCAGCCCCTTCTTCCTCCTCTGGGGCCAGGGAAGGGCTGCCCCTCTCCCAGACCATCCCAGCAAACAGGGAACCTCGACACCTGCTTGGTCTTCATCAATGGGACTTAATACTGTAAATCCTTCCAGGGTCACCTACCAAAGTTCACTTTTCAGGACCTGAAGACCTCACCGATGCTTTCTGATCAAATCTTGCATGGCAAAGCGACGGAGCTGCTTCGTGACAACAGAGACCTCTGGTCACATCACAAGGGCGACAAGACAAGGAACACCAAGCCGAGGGCCGACGAGCCCCAGGCCAGGCACTAACCTTTGTACTCGGGGGTGAACTCCTTCATCTCGGGAGGGAGGGACTCGTAGAAGCGCTGCTCCCGGGGGATGAGGGGCTTGCACACGGTGTGGTCGTCGTAGCGCATCATGCTGCTGTGCCCGCCCACCTGGTGGATGAAGGGCTCCAGGAGGACTCCCCGGTCTCCGGCCCGACTTGCGTTCTTGCCGTACTGCCCCACTTCCATGGTTTGACAAACACACATTGCGTTGGGGGCCGGCTGCACACTGAGCACAGAGGATGCGGCGCATGGGCCGCAGGGGGAGAGCTGGGCAGAAGGTCCCGGCGAGCTGAAGCCAGCGATCAGAGTCCGTTCAGCGGCTTCTTCTTTCCTAACAGAGGGGCAGAGAGGAAGAGCGGGAGTGAGACACCCGAGGAGCCCCAGCTGCCCCCACATTCAGAGAGCGCCTGCCCCAGGAGGAGGAGCAGAGGTTCTGCAGGTCCCTGCCCTGCTGCGGTCCCCCAGCGTGGGGCGGGACAGGCAGTTGGTGAATTTTACTGAATGACGACATTTCGGTCTCCTCCATCTGTCTTTTTATGCACAAAAGCCCACATTCTCTTCCTTTCCCTGTTCTCAGATCCCTTCGAAGTTCTCTGGAGGATTTGGTCCTAAAGTCACAGCACATTACAGCCATCAGGAAGGCAACCAACTGTCCCTGTTCACTCCACATCCAAAGCTCAGGTGTTCGGGGAAAAACAGAAGGCAACACGAGCTCACTCTGCTCGGACTCCTCAGGCTATCAGGACAGTTAGGGTCCCTCCCTGACTCAAAGCAAGTGTTTCAGCTTGAAAAATCAGGTCACGCTGGAGTCCCAACTTTTCTGCTGAAGGCGCCAAGGAGCAGGCAGGGAAAGGCCTTCCTCTTGAGTGGCAGAACCATAAAAATGTCCTGCTTTCCCCCAAGGTGTTCCCGCTTCAGGTTTTTTCTATGTTAAATCTCGAGCCAACGAGTGCTGGCCACGGCTAGCGCCCCGGGCCTCCCTTTTTGCCTCACTCTGTATGAACCAGCAGGACAAGACAAAGCTTTTTGTCTTCAAATACCCTCCTTGTAATGTGAACTTTCTCTCAAGAAAGTTAAAGTAGTGGGCATATTTCTTAGTTCTGAATATATTTTTAAAACTAGAAATGTACTGGCAAGACTACATCTGAAAATTCAAGACTAAAAAAAACATAAAATACTTGTAGAGCCAAGAATATGGATTTACCTGCAAGAGACAAACCATTACTTACTTTCTGAACCTCATAATTATGGGCGAAATGGACTATACAACAACGCTGTCGCAAAACTGCAAAACTATCCTAATCCAAAGCTGCCCAGGAAACTGTTCTATTTCAACTGCTAGCAACAAAAATGAACTGTTCTCCGCTCCCCTCCCCCACAGACGAGCCCTGCCTTCAGGCACACACGCTTCTGCATCGCCACCACTTTCCAGTCCTCCTTCGGGTGAGGCTCCCGCCCCAGGGGGTTTCCCCAGACTCCACCGGGTGCTGGCAGGAGTTTGGCACACACCTCTATGCTTCCCTGCGTGGACCCTGTCACAATGGATCACTCCTCCGCCACCACCACCAAACCACTCTCACCTCCATCCAGGATCCAAGGCAGCTCCTGGCACGAAGTGCTCAAAAATAAATAAGTAAAATAAGGACTGTTGGAATGAATTAACTAATTCAAGAAGACACAGCGAGTAAAAGCGCAATATGAAAGTAAAAGGGCTCTTGCAGAGGCAGGTTCACAGCAGGAAGCAGGCAAACACTCCGGAGGGCCTGTCCCCGGGGCTCCCGGAAGGGCCCAGCGTGGCATCGGGCGGCCCTGCCCTTCAGCTCCTGCGCTGGCTCCGCTGCATCCTGGGGCTGCGCAGGGGCCACCAGGGGGCTGTGAAACTCCCTGGCCTGGCCAGGGGGTGTCTGGGAAAGGAGGAGGTTAACAGTACCAAGTGCCCCAGGAGGGCTGGGCAGGGGAGGGTCAGGGAAATGGCCGGTTCCTGGACCCTGGGAGAACCTCTGCAGCCTTCACTGAAGCCGCAGTGCCATCTCCAGTCAGATCTAGATTTGAAATTCCTATATGACGTCTACGTAAAGCCAGGGTGCTTTTTATGTTTGAAATATTCTTAGAAGTGCACACATAGAATACGCTACAGTTTTGTGATTCTGTTCTGGCATTTCTTTTTAAATAAACCTGGAACCTGAAAAAAGTGGAAGTGCCAGAACTCTCCCAACCTCCCTCTATGAAGCCCTGGCTTACCAAGCGCGGAGCCTCAGGTAAGTCACCTACCTGCCCATTCGCTCACCTGTGGAAGGAGGACATGCCCACTGCCAGCCCTGCACGACATGCTCATGCAGGGGAAGGGCCTGGGCTTGTCTCACCTACTGCCCAGCCTTGAAGTACAGGAAATAGGACAGTCTGACTCATTTTTTTTGAACAACCCAGGGCTGCTCCTAAAGCCTGGTGTCCGCAGGCGCCAGGACTGAGAGGGCTGTGGCCAAGGACGTCCCTGCCCTCTGTCTATTTCCTTGCTGACAGAGTCCTGCTCTTTCTTGTTCAGGTGGCCCAACCTCAAGGGAACGCGAAACTCCATTCCAGCCCGGGGAGAATGACGAATAGTGCCCAGCGCTTCCGAGTGAGTGGCTGATTTAGGGAGGGCATGTGAGGGAGGCTGGCCAGGGTCCTGTGGGAAAAGTTACCTTGCTCTTCAAGAACACGAGAGAGGCATCCCTCCTCTTTCTCGGGGTAGGGTTCCATCTGCACGTGACACCTGAGGCTGCTGCAGCCACTTTGGGCCTTAACGGCCAACATGCTGAGCACGCAGAACAGAAACATAGAAAAAAAACAGGGTCCCTTATGCAGTCACAAAAATACTGGACATCTTGTTATGTAACGAAAATAAATTTCCCTTTATGCTTTAAGCCAGTTGCATTAGGGTTTTCTGTCACTTGCAGCAAAAACCATCCTAAATGAAAAGACAGAAGTAGTGGCATCAAAAATCCCCAGATCTCCAGTTAATATACTTTGTGCATAAAGAAGTCAGTGTTTTCTGATGATGAGGAAACTCCCAACAATTGAAGAGTAAGTTCTTCACTGATAACAAAGGGCTTGCTCTCCCCAAGGCCAAAAATTAAAAAATGTAGCTCTACAATCTTTAAAGTGTCCCCTGAAAGCAAAGAATGTGAACTATATCTGGTCCTCAGGGCTGGTACACAATACTAAAAAACAGTCTGACAAACTGAAAACTCATTCTCCAATACGAGGCAATGAATCTGCCTAAATATCCAAATAATTAAGGACAGAGTCTCCTGTGATTCAACATGAGGCAGATCATAAAAGACACATACTCTCGCCACTCCAAGACCTTATTTATTGAACATAATTTCCTACAATGGAGTGAATAAATCCTATTTTCTAGAGTGCAACCGATCCTCAAACAAGATTTTACACACTGTCCTCCGACCTGATTTCAAGTAATTTATGCCTATTAAGTCATCAACAGACTTTTTATTCTAGACTTAAATTCAGGAACTACTAACATAAAGAAAAACTTGCAAATTCTTTTAAAGCTACAAAGCATAAAAAATGTCAGATAACTGAAAACTTGAGGGATTCTGGTTTCATTGTCATGAGCTAAACCAACATCAAAAAACAAAACAAAAAAAAAACCCTACCAGGAAGTGTTTTTGTTTTGTAACCTTCAAAGGTTTCCCTGGGGAAAACTTCATAAATGGTCCTCTTTTCCCCTGAGGCAAAAGCCCCCACCACCCGCACCATGGAGCACGCTGCTCCCTGCGAGGCCCAGGCCCGCAACTCAGCGGTGCTCTCTGCGCGTCTGAAACTGCGGTCTGAAATCCGCACAGCTCACATGTGCGCTGTGCAACAAAATCTCTGGCTATGGCTACAGTAACAGGATGGCTTTTAGGTTTAGACTAATAAAAAATACTTCTATTTAAAAAAAAATAATAACTAGACATCGTCTCCCGCCAATATCACAACAGCTTATTCGGGGACAAAAAAGCTTAGATAAATGATCTGCACGTTATAAAGATCTCACAAGTCTATCCATTCAAGTATATGAGGACTTCCAATCAAATGGAGACAACTGTATGTGAACAACAATTCAAAAAAGAGAAAAGAATGATTTTGTTTTGTAATTCACATCTCTCAGAGAAAGAAATTCTCTCTTGGTCCCCAGAAATGTTCCTGGATCCCTGAAGCACAACTCCCCTTGTCCTCGCGCAGCTTCTCCGAGACCTGCTGCGCACACCTCTCACAGGGCGGCAAGCGCTCCTTCCGCAGCAGACACATCCTTTCCCGTGGAAACCTAAGGCATGTAAATTCGGACCGCAGGAACAGCAAAGGATCTAATCGTCTAAAACCATGCTGAGACTAGGGACAAAAAAGGAGACATTTCCTGGGGTCACAGTGAAGATGAACAAGAAGGAACAAGCAGTGCGACACTAATCAAGAACGAAGGTGTGTTCCCAGTCCCCCCAGTCCCCGTGTGGGAGGCATGTCAGGAAGGCCTTATTTTGAAACCCTCAGGCCAGAATCAGCCTCCCACAGGAGTTCCCTTCGAGCTCCTGGACAGCAGTCTGATTGGGGACAGCAGTCTAATCGGGGGTCAGCAGCAGCCTCTGCAGAGCATAAGCAGGATAGAACCTGCTCTCCTCACGGCTGCATCGGTCACTCGGGAAGCCCCGGAGGAAAGCGATGCCCAGCGCTACCGCCAAGCTGCTGCCTGCACTTAGGGAGCCTCCCTGCACTTAGGGAGCCTCGAGAAGACCCCATCTGTAGGCATGACCTGACTGCACCCACCAGACAAACAACAGTCTAGCTGCTCCTGCTCCGGGCTGTCACTGCGAAGGTGCTGTGGCTTCTCCTGCAACAGCACTGCCTTCAGCCTCTTCAGCCTCTTCACCCTCAGCAGCCCTCCGAGCTATTCAGCTGCCAGGGCCACCAAGAGGGTCGTGGTCACCACAGTATTCCAATCGCACTGTGCAGCACGGGCAGCAGCACTAATAACGCTCCATGTACAGTGGCAGCCATCCTAGGGGCTTCCTATACAGCAACCAAGGAACCAAGTACGATGCCAACCAGCAAGACAGCAAGTACCTTCTCCCTGTCACACGTGACCAAGGGTCTGAGCAGTAAAAAGTATTATTGGACCACACCAGAAAAACCCCACCGAATCCCCCCATCCCACCCCACCCCACCGAGACCATCAATGTGGCCGAAGTAACATCTTAACAGACCTGTTTCAGTACATCCAGCAGAGCTACTCAAATTTGTACGGTACAGATCAACATGTGTAAAGTCTACAGGACTATTCTGTCATTCC